TAAGAGAAAATTTCCATTTGTTTCACAAATATGAAATATTTACGATAAAATAAGAGAAATTCAATGTCGCCAAGAGAGAAGAGAATTAGTATCTCTTTTGCTATTAAAATAACGTCTTCGTCTACTTTTATCAGTCCCTATCCTTGTCTCCTGTCGTCTTTCGGTCTCAAGTGTTCTAAATGTGGTTTCTCTCCAAGGTGTCGAAAAGGCACGTGACTGAAAGATACCTGCTATTCTCTACAGTCATTTCCTCTCGCTCCGGTCGGCGCCAATCGCCTCTCTTCCTCTTTTTTTTTGCCACCGATATTGCGCGTTCCTAGCGCATTCGCCGGACATATAACAATCGTCGTATACAGTCATGTTCTAAATATTGAGAATAGTAAGTTAAAATAAGTTCCGAACCGATCGCGATTGATCGCTACCTGAAGAAACGCCGGGGAATCGTCGTAGCACGGCTTTTTTTTTAACGAGACACACCGGGCGGATACATCCCTCTCTCTCCTTTTCTCTTTTCATCTCTCTACACGACTCTGCAAATAGTATCCTTTACTCCTCTTTTTATTTTTATTATTATCCATTACTATTTATTATGTTTACTTTACTCGTTATATCGTTATTCGCTATCGTTTATTATCCTTGCTACTACGCTTGCTTTAACTATGGAAACGAGAAGAATGTGGTACGAGCTGCCACAACTACGGTATGTACGTATGTGTATCTATATCTGTGTGTGTGCGCGCATGTATGTGTGTCTGTGTGGGTGTGTATTTTCATGTCTGATTGCCTACGTGTGTACACACACACAGAACGTTGATCGAGGACGATGTCCTCCGGTGTGATCCAGGTCGCGCCACCTCCACCCCCTCATCATTCACTTTGATAAAAGTTTCCGAAACCGGGCAAATGTTAATTGTCACTTCGCTCTTTCGCTTGCTCTCGCTTTCACTCTCTCGCTCTCTTTCTCTCTCTCTCTCTCTCTTTTTTTACGGCGTATATCCAAAAATCTTTAGAAATTCTGTCTTGCGGTATATATAGGTACAAATATCGCGGGGAGAGATTATCATAGCGAATATTACAAAATTCTCAGTTTTTTCTCCCTCTCTTTCTCTCTTTTTTTCTTTATCTTTCTCGTATCGCAGACGGGAAAGAAACGTCGCAAGCGATTTAGCGATCCTCGAAAGTGATTTAAAAGATTGTGCTGGCTCACAAGAAGGAGCTGGACGAAATTTCATCAGGAATCACATAGTTCACCGAGTTTTCCTTCAGCGCGCTTACTGTGCGAAGAAAAAGGCTTTTTGCAACTTGTAAAATGGAAAAATAGTTGTATCTCTTTCTCTCTCTCGAGCGCTCTCTCCCTTTCTCTCATCTCACATTCTCACCCTCAACCGCGCCTCGTCTCCGCCGTTCGGAATAGCTACAACTTTTTTCTGGGTTTTTTCTTGCATTTTTCCTTTCTTGTTTTTTTTTTTCGCTTAAGTTTGACGAGAGTCACCCTGTGAGTACACGCACGAAGGGCCATAGAAGTTACCCTGTGTGCAGGTGCTAAATGCCTAAGAGATATAATCTGGGTACGCTTTTTTTAACTGCTAAGTATCGTCCGCTGATTAAATATAATTGACTTTACTTAACGTGCGTGGTGATAGCGAGGGCCGTAAAATATATCTCTTACGCGTCACGTATTCGTTCTCGGGATGACACGTGCGCGACGAATTTACAAAGTGGTAGGGCGGAGAATGTATAGCTAAATATCAAAATGCCACTTTGAATAAAAGAAGAGAAATTGGCAATTTCAGACAGATGTAAATTATCATTCCAGGAAACGGCTCTAGGAAAAAAAAATTTATTATTCAGAAATATATCATTTGAGATATTAAACAAATATGATTTCTTCCTGAAAGATTGTCTTTAACAGACAACCCAAAAATTTTGAATTTATTGTCTAATTAGAATCTTGTATCCAATCTCCAATTACGAAGATTGAAGAAACATAATTACATAGAATAATCCTTTTAATTAACTTATTTTTTACGGGATTAACACCTAGAACGCCGAGAAGATTGTTGCGTTCATCTTAATCTTAGTTCATTTTAATCGCATTACTTTCGATGAAGTGTTATTGCAAAATACAACAATCTGTAGATATACGCTTTTGATGAATTAGGCGCGTAGGGTAAAAAATAGCGTGACGAAAGAATGCCAAAATGTTCTAATGTTTCTTCTTAATTTCGTAATAAAGAAGCTCGTTCATAATACATACGTATGTAGTGGGACATGTACACAGTTTTAATATGTAAAAGAAATACGTTGATGAAAAGAGATATTCGTCGCGGATCTGCAGCGCGACGACAACTAGCTGAATTTGTAAAGATTTTTGGCGCACTACTCTCCGCTTCCGTACACGCGCAGAATCGAGACTGCTTATTTGTAGCTCATATTTCATAATTTTAACCATGTGTGTGCGATACAATTACGTGTAATTAGCAGTATCATCATTAGATTTTTTTATTATAATTAGTGTTACAAAAGCTTGATTATATTTGGATCGGACTGTAGCAATATATTCACATAACTATCGTCGTGGAAAATAAAAATTTAACGTTTACATTATACAATTATTCTTTATCATCATTCGTCGAGTCGCTATTTATTTGTAGATTCTCCTCGTCGATTCACGTAATAAATACAATTGTTTTATATAGTTATCGTCATTATGATCATCATCAACATCATCGGCTCTCCCAACCCAATTCACCCTCGTCCATTATATACCGTTTCACGATATTCTAGTCAAGAAGTGTTTCCTCCTTTATGTCATAGTCCCCTATATAATAATACAAATCACACGATTTATTAAAAAAAAATAATAATAAAAAATTAATAAACGTTCGACAAAGATCCATATCTTCGCAAAATAAACTAAGCGAAAACCGTCCCTTTTCGCCGCTTTCTATGCGCGATCGATTGTAGTTTTATTCCACCAATTATTGCGTCGATTTAATATCGAATTCTCTCGGTTATTTCGTCGATTGTAAAATACTAAGCACCGTGAGTTCATCGCGCGACACGTTATACGCGAGATTGCACGAGAAAGGAGTAGTATCGTTTATCGCACTACTATTCGGGTACTAAGGGTATAATCGGTAATCGTGGGACCGCAGTGTCCCTGACGTTATTACGCAGAGATCGATCGTTGTGGCATTGCACTACTTCATCCTCTTTCTCTTTCTTCCTGTCGACTCATTAAAATTAATCAGCGTTCGCCAATTGTTCTTACGACTACGAGACTACTAATATGAAGTATCATGAATCGCGCGTATCTACTGGCACTGATAACGACCGAGACGAAAGCACACAGAGCGGAGATGCGAAGTATCCGAACGAAAGGTACACGCTTACGAAAAAAATCAGTACCGCGCGAGATCGTGCGGACACTCTCGTTCGCACACAGCACTAAATTCACAATAATCAAATATTATGTACAAAAAATCCTATATCCCACCGATCGCGTCTCTTTCCTTTCGCGATACGAATGGTTTCGAGACTCGACGTGTAGCGCGTCATTTCTTCTATTTTTCTTGCGTCTCACACGCTTCATTGCATTGCGCGGTATGCATATGTCGTACGGAGCCACATGAATTAAATATTAACAAATATACCTAACTTATATTTCCCTCGCGACATCCAGCGACTTAATGAAACGAAATCCTAAGGATAGCCTCGTCCTAGTGATCGCCCGCTACACTCGCGAGACGAAGATCGAGCGGTTATATAAGCTCTGTGATAAATTTTCCCTTATCTTCTTATTCTGATATCTTTGTGCCCCATACTCTGAAAGAGCGTGGATGGTCGCGTTAAAAAGTTACATTCAGAATCATGTGTTCCCATATGTGCTTAACAATGATACGAAAAATATATATATTATATGTTGTTCGCGCGCAAAAGATAAACACGCTCGACCGATCTTTTCAGAAGCTGTAACGAGCGATCGATCACTTAATCCTCCGGAAGTTAAAGGAACGATCACATCCAGTTTCCGACTTGTATAACCTTAAAACGATCATCACAGAAATATGATATTTCTATATCGTTTCTCTTTCGCGTCGACTTTATTGCTATGAAATGCACGTCAAATATCGTCCATGATTACAAGACGATCAAAAAGTATGAAACGACGTCCGCTTTCAGATTGCACAGCGAATAAACTCGTACAAAAAAAAGTCAAGTAGCCGCGAATCGAGATAGAAATATCGTACCGTGGATCGAAACAACGATTTAGGGGTTCCCGAAGGAGGTGTTCGGAGATCTCGCTTTTGATCAAGGAAACGAATAAACTGAGAGGAAGAGCGAAGAAGCTCGTCCAACAACCAGGCTGGCAGTAGTTGAGGAGACGACAATGCGTGACGCGATAATTTCTCCTTCATCCAGGCAGTCCATCGCTTCCTCTCTAGTTCTCTTCTCCGATAAATTTATCCTCCGATCCTGGAATTCTCCCGCGATCCTTACTGACCTTCATTGCTTTGGTAAAGCACAAAGAAAGCGACGAAGGTGTCTTGAGTGTTCAGTGGCACCTGTCAAAGTGCCGGTCACGAGTCTCGCTCCTGCAGGAGCGTTTACTCAGATCACCTAGATCGTTCCAAGAGAGAGAAGATCGAACGGAGGAATTATTAATTGATCATTTTCGAGACTAGTTTCGTCACTTGATCACATATGCTGCCAAAAGACTATAATTTGTCCCCCTCTGACACTCGATAGAGAATGCTTCTTCCCTTTCCATCGTTTTTTTTCGCTTACGTTTCTTGCCTTCCCGAAGGAGAGGAAGATAGGTTCGTGGACGTGGATTTAGCTTCTTTTTTTTCTTCATTCTTTTCATCCCTTTCTTTCTCCGGTTTCCCCTCCCTCTCTCGCTACGACGCTCCGGCGATGTCCAGGCGGTAGGTCAGACTATTCGGATGCTTCCTCGACGAGAAGGGGACCGTGGATGGGCTGCTGCTCTGCGGTATCTACCGACTCCCAGCGCTTTCTGATGACTGAGCAACCGCCGCGGCATTGTGGCTTGTTTCGTATTCCATCACTTCCTGATAGATCAGCTCCTTCCATTGATCCACCGTGTGTTCCCTCTCGTCCACGCTATGGTCATATGGACCTGGTGCAGGCTACAAAATAAACCAGAATTTCTTATAAACCATTACACAAAAGAAAGATTAACAATCAATTTTATGAGTATTTAATTAAAACAAATGGGAAGTATATCTTGTTAAAAAAAATTTCTTCATCCCACACACACACACACACACACACACACACACACACACACACACACACACACATAAAGAATAATTGTTTGCAGCATTTTCACACACATACATTTTTTTTATACTAGAATTAGTTTTATAATTAGAATTTTTTTAAAATAATAATACAAACGATGGTTTTGTTGAAATATCTAAAAATTTAATTACATACAGATCGAAAAATAATTTTGGCCCATCAAAATAATTGTAGAACACTGAAATTGATTGCTAGAATGTCAAAATTTTTTGTAATATTGCTCATTATGCTTAAGATTCCTACGTATTTTGACGGAAAACAAAATTGTTTTTGGACCTGTATCTAGCTAATTTTTTAAGTAATTTTTCAACAAAATCGTTCCTTTTGTGTATACTTTTTTTAGATATAAAAAAATTTTAATACAATTTCTCAAATTAAATCAACGACTATGGTAAATCCTGTTTTTCCTGGTTTTCGGAGAAGACAGTACGATTGCAAATGACCATCTATTCACGCGATCAATCGATAGAGCCTACTTACAGCATTGACTTCCCCCTCGTCGTACCAGACGTTTATGTAATTGTGCAGCAACGCCTCGTCCACGGAAATGCGTCGCTCCGGGTCGATCACGAGCATGCGCGATAATAGATCCCTGGCTTGGCTCGCTAGAAAAGGAAGTAAAAACCATGAAAGGAAGAGCCAGGGAGAGGCAAGGCAAAGCGATGACGAGAATGCGGATAATCTCGTCCGCGCGCCAGAACGTGCGCGTTCCGCGATCAATCTCGCGATGCAGGGCGTCGACTTGCTGACCTACTCACCTTTTAATCTATTGTGTTCTGAGGAGTCCGAGGGGAATAGGACATCCGGAAATAGCCTCTCGAAGGGATAGCCTGGATATCGTGGCCTGTTCTCTACGTAATTCCTGACGGTCGGCTGCAGTCGTTGCATGAATTCCTGCGCCGGTGTACCAAGTTGTTCTGCACAGATAAGAGCAACTATCTTATTTTTAGATACAGTGGCAGAGAATCTGCGAGATAATTGCGACTATCTCGTATTTAACCAAAAAATATTAAGAAGAAAACTGTAAAACAATATCACAATTATTCTGACAATAAAAATTATTAGGAGATCATGTATCTCTATAAAAAGTGATCATGATTATCAGCTTACAATAAAAAAAATATCGTGAATCTGGTATATGCGTTAATTATTCATGAAATGAAAAATGTCACATAATTAATTAAATAATTGTGATTACACAATATAAAAAATATTAAATATAATGATGTACAAATATTGCTGAATGTTAACGCAAATAATTTTATCAATTCTGATAAAATCATTTGTCATCTTACGTTTTAATTGATTTCGACGACACATTTTCAGAATGGATTATAATATAGCAACATCATGGAATTTTATTTTGTATCCCTTTAATTCTATTCTGCACATTTTACAAGATTTTATTTTATAACATCGCGCGCGAGATCTTATCAAAGTATTGGTCAATATTATAATAATTATTATTATAATTACGGAAAATTCGGTCTTACCGATTATTTTGTTCCACTGGTCAATGTGATCCGTGCCCGGAAATAATACGCCACCGCGTATCATTTCGCCCATGATGCACCCCACCGACCAGATGTCCACATTCTCTTTGTAACCCATGCCCAGAATCACCTAGCAAGAAAAAAAAATGGATACTCCGAATGAACAAAATGGATCGAACTAATCGGAAATAAATTGTGCGAAAAATTACAGAAGACTCTAACTCACCTCAGGCGCCCGATAATATCGTGTGACGACATAGGGCGTCATCATAAATGTGGTACCGGCGGTCCTCGCCAAGCCAAAGTCGAGAATCTTTAGCGTACAGTCAGATTTTACGACAATATTGCTTGGCTTTAGATCCTATGCGACAAACAAAGTTAAATTTTAGAGATTTATCTCAAGAATCGTGAAAGAAAAAAATAATTAAAACAATAATTCGAAACAAATATTAAAAATCTTTATTTTTAGACCGCATATGTGAGAACATAATCAATAATAGAAAAGGCTTATAACGGTCGAAGCTGGATCTTTTCGACCGTTATAGGCCTTTTAATTTCTAATAATTCGAAACTATAACAGTCAATATCGTGAGAAGATGCCATACGACCGATTAATAATAATTGCGAAGTGGCGAGTCAGTCACGAGTCAACGCTGGACCAGCTATTTCCAGCTGTATGAATTTTAATTTTTAGCGCGTTAATTACGCAGACAATCCCGCAATCGTTGCGCCGCGTTCTCATTTTTAATGAGCGCGACGCCCGCGCCGGTTTAGCTATTCTATTATAACATGCGGTGCACCGGGAAATTAATCGGAACGGCGGCAGTTATTTCTTTCGCCGCAGCGGGACAACAGCAACCGCGGAGCTACGGTATGCAGGAATGGTCGTTGCTAATGAATCTCGTTACGATAGATTAAATGGCTCCGCCCGTTATGCAATTTTCATCGGGGCGCAACGTGCAAATAGCTAATGTCACCTACCCTGTGGATAATGCCGGCGGAGTGTAAGTGCTTGATGCCGCACAGCATCTGGTAGAGGAGATACGACATACGCTCGTGGTCCAGATCCATCTGGATCACTTGGCATAGGTTAGCGTCCATGAGCTCCATCACCAGATACACGTCTTGAAACTCATCCAGCGACCGTTGCGGTGTGAACGCGTTCAGGAGACCGATTATCTGCAAGGCGACAAATCGTAAATTGATAAATCGATTTCGTTTCCGAAATCCTTAGACAATGCTTAGATATGATGAATAATAGCGAATAAAATTTGTCCTTTTTCTGATCCTTTTTTTGAACTTAAATTATTCAGATCTCAAGATTCCTCCCCCCCCCCTCTCTCTCTCTCTCTCTCGGAATTACGTGAAACTATTTACATTGTTATTCCAACGCAATTCAACATCTTGATTGTACTCTTAACACCGAATTAAAAACAAAGGGATTAAAATAAATTGCAGCAAATTGAAACGATTAACCCAATTAAAATAAACATTTATTGTATGAATATACTTTAATTTTAATTCTTATCATAATCCTTTAATTTATAATTTTGTTAACAACTATTCTATCAGAAATTATTTGATGACAAGGACAAATTATGATTGTGAATATGTCGAGATAATGAAACTACTCGCGATATACTGTTATTCATCGCTGTAACATTTGCTCATTTAACTCTGTGCGGCTTTCTTCCATTTCTATCTAATTTAATTGGAATGACAAAGAATTTTACGTTCATTTGTATAACAATACAGTACAAAGCGCAATTATAATTCTCACGAAATAATATTACACATCAAGACACGTATTGTACATGTATTTGACTCAACAGTAAGGTTTGAATGAGATATTAGACACTTATATTTTATTGCAATTAAAAAAAAGAAATAATATTTTTCGTAATAAATTATTCGTTTTTAAGAGTTCTTATTAACATCAAATTATCAATATTCTTCTAAGATACTTATTAGCAGGGTTGGTAAAAATCATATTTTTTTTTAAAGAACAAAACATTGAGTTTTTTTTATGAAAATATGTTCTTAATGTTTTAAACAATATTTAAAAAAAAACATCTTTTTGAACATATTTAAAACATGTTTTAAAATGTTTTAAACAGTACTTTTAAAAAGCTTATTTATACATTATTAAAACGTCTGATATTCATAGGCCATTTTTAGGCTTTAGGATCCATTTAAAAATCATTTTATCCCTGTTGTTTGTCAAATGTTAAACAAAGACAAATGATGCTCATAAGCGTTGTAAACATAAATTGAACCGCGGCGCCCAGTATTTTCAGATGGCAGTGTATCGGAATACTGCCATAAATCATAATCAATTGTATGAGAAATACACATTATATACAAATAAAAATGAGTATATAGATATTATTCGCCTAAAATCTATGTTAAATATTTCCTTTAAAAAAAACATGATTTAAACATTAGTTTTAAACACGTTAAAAATTTGTTTAATACATATGTTTGTTTAAAACAGTACAGTGTTTAAAACATATTCTAAACATTTGTTTTAAATACAAATGTTTTAAACATAACAACCTGCTTATTAGCATTAATATTATTAAACTGCTTGTTAATTTAATATGTAAAATTACTACTCTATAGTTCATGATTGATGACCTACGTTTCAAGACTGAAAAAGATTTCGGCGCGCGGTTTGTGGAATTGGATATGTATATAAATTCATACCGAGATATTTAAGCACCAAGATCTATTTGACCGATAATAGGATTCCTCTTACTTAATTAGATTTATCCTCACTGGTCAAATTTAGAATTATAATTGTTAAAAAAAATATTTGTTGATATAGACAACAATGTGTGTTCCCAAAAAGGATATGCATGTCACGCACTAAGAATAGCAGCAACGGAACGAAATTTAAGAAAAGAACTTACGTTTTTGTGATTGACCAACTTCATGAGTTTGAACTCTCTGTAGGCCCTCTTCGCGTGTGTCACGTTTTGAAAAGGTCTGGATAGCTTCTTGATCGCCACATTTTGCGCAGTGACGGTATCGTACGCCGCGCTGCAACAAAGATGGAGGAAAACGTTCAAAATTGTTCGATCATACACGCTTGAACGCGCGATTTCATCAAACTAAAATAAATAATTAAAAATGAATAAATATTTTGTTAGTTAAAAATTTTTGTTCTAAATTTACTTAATTTCTAGTTGTGAAAAGCGTGCCTATATCACGTCCGTGTGGCACAATTTAATAAGATTTTCAATTTAATAAAATAAGAATTATTAATTTAACTAATGATTTAATAAAAACAACTATTCGGATAAAAACAGAGCACGTATTTTATCGGAAAAATTTCTCGTATTAATGTATAAAATAATAAACTCACAGAAGTTTAATTAAAAAAAAAAACGATATTACGAAAAAGCTACTAAAATGATATAGAGAAACTATTCCTCAAAGTAAGGTTAAAGAAATGTGCACCAAATTTTCAGCAATGGCTGTAGCGAATTTAATATGTTATCACTTGGACATGATATAAGCTCTTTGATACAAAATAAAATACTATAAGTATAAAGTAGGAAGACAGAAAGTGGAACAGACAGAAAAATAGATACACTCGCAGCGTATAATCTGTATAAATCGTGGATTTTACTCACCATACGATACCCTGAGCGCCGACGCCACGCGGTACGACGTCGACGTATCTCTCGGGTATGCAAAGCTCGGTGTCGCCGAAAATGTGACGACGATAGCCGCTCCGAACGTTGCTCGATTCCGTCGCGTTCGTCGCCATTACCTCTTTTTAAATGTTCTTTAATTCTCTCTTTCTCTCCCTGTTTCTCTCTCTAGCTCTCGTGGCGGCTCTCGTGCCTTAACTTAGGTAGTGTATATCACGGCTTTAGCTACCAAACCAACGACACAAGGACGTCTACAGGAAACGAAAACGATCAAGCCGATCGCGGCGACGGAGAAAATTTATCGTCGTCAGATTTCGATGACACTTGCGAAAATTCGTTTTCAATGGCGCAAGTTACGAATCCACGGTGGAACTCATTTATTTTGTTAATATCACAATTTATTAAATAAGAAAAGAAAAGATCCGTATAATAATTAACGTCATTATTAATTTATATTAAACAATTGAAGTTTATACAAATATTTATATCAATTTTAACTCCAATTTTGAAAATATCTTTTTTAATTGATATTAAAAACTTATTATTCTTTCAAATCCATTTATATCGCGAAATAAATCGCCCAAGAACTTAATTAAAATACATCTATGGCAACAGATGACGAATTTAATTTTATTATTTATCGCGAGCATGAGTTCCAGTAGGAACTTGCTGAAAGATATTAAATTATATTTTGCGCCTCGCGTTGCAAAACGTGTCGCGTTTCGTGGAACATAATTTTTCTCCGTCGACCGCCGCAACAATGTCACCGACAGCATTCTCAAAGGACAAACGAGCATGATGTATAACTGTTGGAACGAGCACGAGTTAAGCCCGTCGTTCCCCCTGGCAATCCTTCAAAGATCTCTCTCTTCTTCTCTTTTTCTCTCTCGATTTTCCTTCAAGAACAGCGTCGAGAGAATTCGTGCTTGATTATCGGAACCATCTATACAATATAAGGCGCTTTTTTTCCAGGTAAAATACAATATTTTCTTGCGACATCAGATATTTTGAGTCAATGTAAATCGCGAATCAATCAATGGTGCGAGAGAGGTCGATGGATCCAAAAACCATGCAATAAGGATAAGCAAATCGGCAAAATAAAAGAATATAAAGTCAAATTAAAATTGTTAGTAGGATTGCTGCGATACAGTTGAAAAGTTCTGCACTGTACAGCTATTATATTAAATTATATTTTATGTATATAAAAAATTATATTTTATAGGTATATAATTTAGAAAATATTGATATATATGTATATATACGTTTTATAAAGATAAAATAAAAAATTAAATGTGCATCAAAAAGATTGAAATTTATCTAGCCACAAGTACGTTATTATGTTTCTTATAAGAAATGATCATTTTATGATTCTATGAAACTATTTATATGAAGAGAATTTTTTTTAATTTACTCTGAAAATATATATGGTAGTTGTGGCACAATACAATATTTTAAAGATTTTTACCATACACTTCAGTAAAATTAATTAAACTTAATTTATTAATTAATTAAACTTAATTTATATTTTATTATAGTTTTATTAATGAATGAGAAAAATTTACATAAAATTCTTCGAAATACAATGTTGTCCCAGGACTATCATATTTTCAGGGTAAATTTTAAGAAAAAATTCTCTCCATGTAGCTTTGATTTTAAAAATTTTTTAAATCATTAGATATTAAATTAGTTTAAAAAAATTAATTTATTATTTTTTTCAATGATTTTTTACACTTCAGATGTCAAATTACATCGTAAAAGATTTCGATTTTATGACTTAAAAATACTTCGCAGTTGTGACTCGTTAAACAGGTGCGATTTGTGAACGGATTTAATTATCAATCAAACCGGAAAAATAACGAGCGGTATCAGAAATATGCTGCTAGAAAGCACGTGAAAGGCATGCGGATCTTTCATCGTATATAATCATAAATATAGGGATGGTTTTTCATGACAGAACATTCTTCATCCTACCTTTCAAAATGTTGGTCTCCGAGATCGTTTCCTCGTGAGAGAAATCACATTCGACGGCCGATTAAACGCGATCAAACGAGCTCAGAACTTCCTCTTGCTTTTACTCAAACATTTCTGTGTGCCTTACAACTTTAGAATAATGATAAAAGCCACCGGGCATATTCGCAGATTTTACTGAAGTGTATGGAAAAAATCATTAACCTTCTTCCTCCGAGAAATTCTGTGACTTCAAAGCCACATATATCTGAACTTTTTACAATAAATTTCCGTAACACTTCTACAAAAATGAAGTAAAGATTGCAAGACTATAAATTTAAGATGATCTTTTCTTAAAAACATAATAATAAAAAAGGTACAGTTCAAAACAAACAGGTCGATATAACAGTAGTTTGACCTATATTTTTAAAGAAACTCTAATAAGAAAAGTAATTTCAAAGTATTCAGAAAACAAAATTTAGAATTGATTTACCGAATTCTTCAAAATGCTACGTTATTTAAATGTAATTATTTTAATGATTATTGAAAGTCTTAAAATATCTGATATATATTGATATTTTCATAAATTTTTAGTGTGATACACTTTAGTAGACCATATAAGGAATTAATGAATTTTGAAATCATTTCTTTTGCTTTATTTGAAATAATTTCGGAATATGCATTCCTCTCGATATGTCAAATTTTCAGAATATATTTTATTTTCAAGAAATGCTACCAACTCGAAATACTCTTCAGTGGCATTTCATCATCATCTTGGTCGCAACAATATCAAGATACTTTTCGTAACTGTGAATTTTCATGGTTACTTTCAGGAGAGCTTCACTATAACATTTTCTTAGTTACCAACATTTTATAATATTATATTGAAATTAAAAGGATAGTGCCTGATTAAAATATTCTTTATTATTGTGGGATAATGAAGTTTTTTAATATTAGCAAAAATCATCTCTCCGGTATTCCTGATAACGCCAGGATTAATGTGTAGGTCACAGATTCCGCCGTGAACAATATCCGGCCGTCGTTAGCCGATTTCCTTTTGCATCCTGACCTACCTTCTGTGCACACGAAATCAACCATCCTTTTCGAGAGTAGCTCGCTCCTCGAGGGACGCGACAAAACGAAAAGGCGTCTCGCATATTTTCCGTAATGGACTACGCCACGGTAGAATTTTTATCGAAAACCGATATCCGCATTCCCTTCGTTCGTCCATTCGTTCGACTTACCTGCATGCTACGGTCACCATGTATTGTTCGAGATTGCGCTTTCTCGGATAATGCAGTATTTCAGTTCCTATCGAACGTTGAAAGAAGAAACACGTGCGAGACACCGAGAAAAACGACCCAAGGAACGATCATCGTGATAGATCATCGCTTACCTGATCGATAATGTTTGCTATGAATTTCAACAATCTATACGATTCGGGACATAAACCGACCATCACACTAATACTACATCGTTAATAGTCGGAGCAAGAGAAAAGTGGGAACAATAGCTATTTGCGAAATTATCAGAGCTATTAGAAGAGCAGATTGAAAGATATAATAACCTATCATTAAGTCCTCTTCCTACTTTAACAAAAACTTGAGAAAATCGATATATTAAAGTCAAGAAACTAAAAACTTAAATTTCTCTTAAGTTTGTAAAAGGAAATAAATTATAAAATGCAGAGAATATTCTAATTTTGTAATTTCAGATTCTAATTTTGCTGAAACGTTAAAAGAGGGTTGCAATTACAGTAAACGTTCACAATGATATCACAAAAGACAAATCATAATTAAATTCAATGTGTCATGAATTGATTCATATTATTTAAAAAATAGAGTATATAAAACAATATTAAAACAAAAAAAAACAGGATATTCTATATTTATAATAATTTTCGATTCCAAAAAAAATCGTTAGTCACAATTTCTTTTCTGTTTATTTCCTCTTTCTCTATCTATTTATTTCTTGTTAAATCTTCACTGAAATATCTTTATGCCATTACGCTCGTATTACCTTGAATTGTTGCGACGTAAATACCGACCTAAATACCTTCCAGATATGGAGAGAGCATGACGGCATCTATTCAGTGTTTGGATGTTCACAAGAAAAAGAACGCCATCGAATTCGTCTCTGAAAATCGGATATCGACGGCAAGAACGACGACGAGGAAGAACGCCATGAAACTGTCAATGAGGACGATTTTTCCAACATCACGCCGTCGGCTTACAAGGAAGGGGCGTTGTGCCTCTCGTCGTCGTTGCTCCCTGTCACCGGAAACTCGCATACTCTCGCGAAATCCTGACATCTCCTCTCAGTTTGAATCGAATTCCCCGATTTACTCTGCCTCCCCCGTTCCTCCGCATGGCAAACGGTGTCTCCTTTACCGTTGATCTCGGTTGGTCCCCGAGCGCGAATAAGAAAAATCGTAGTTAACTCTCCTTCCCTCTTTGATATATATGTCGACATAGCAATACAACGCTCGGCTTCAAATCCACCTCGAAATTTTTACGTCTGATGGATACTGGCATTGTTATCGATTGTATACTTAGCTTGAGGGAAAGAAAGAGTAGATGACGTTATTTTATCCAGGAAACGGATATATCATTGGGACATTACAACGAAACGTTATAAACATCGCGTGCAATAGATAAAATTTTTCATATGGCTGCGTACTCGATATTGGATATTGAAATTGGATCGGTAGGTTTTCTCTTGAATTATTTTATATATTATTTTTTATTTTCGTGTAAAATAGTTAGAATATGGGGTTTCACTGCGATTTCGCTGGGATTTCTAAGGAAGATTCGTCGATTCTCGGTATTCGCATGTGTCTCTCCTTAATTCTAATGGACTAATAATTCTAAAAAAAAATATAGCGAAATATAATACAGCAACTATTGAACCACTCACCAGACTATCCCCTGCGCGCCCGATCCGATAGGCTTGAGATTTTGGTAGCGCTTCAGGATGGTGAACTTGGTGTCCCCGACCTCGACCGTGTAGAACATGGCGGATAGCCGGGTTGTCATGTCAGGCCCCAGGTAAGGCATGCGCCTCGGTGTTCGTCTCTCCTGCTGCTGCTGCACCTGCGCCGCCGCCTGCACCTGCACACCGTCCACCCCGCTGGAGCACTCCTGGTGCGCACGACGGGGACTTACGCTCTTAGCCACTTTGGACGTGAGATTTTCAGGGCACCCACGGAATAGTAGCACTGACAATGCTGACGGGTACTTCCACTGGGATGCGCTACACCTGCAAGTGCCACGTCAGACCACTCCTGCGGCAGATCGCGCCTCAGCACGTTGCTGCCCGATGAGTCCCTACGTGCCCGAGAATTGTCTGCAACAAGAAAAGGATCAAAGCGAAAGTTCGCATAAATCCGTTTTTTAACTGATAATTAAAATATCGATATTATTTATCATATTTATCACAGTTAAGGGGATGCTAAAGTCGTCCTACTTTACCATCATTTCCATTCGGTGAAAAATCTCCGAATTGGATTTACGGATCGCAAAATTATTATTACAGAATTAAAGTACGCTCAAACAGGACTTCAGCTGCACTGGATTTCACGAAAAACTCGAAAAAAAAGTTAAAAAATTCACTTATTTTTGGCTCGTACAGCTGTCACCTCAGGTCTATATTTGCTTGATACAAGAATTTTATAGTCCATATCTTGAAAATAAGTGTGCAGCTGAGATCACATTATTGGAACGAACGATACCGAGTTTGTAGAACTAAGATTAAAAGTCTAGAAGAAAAATATTTTCACCGAATAGAAAATACGTGTATACGGATGCTTTGCGAAGACTGGGAATGTCAAAGCCGAAATTCCGTAATAGTAGTTGCGCGGTCTTGCGATAGATGGTGCTGGCATATGTTAGATTGTGGCGTCTTTTGTGCAAAGATTTCCTTTCACGGGCCACAGTGCAGAACTCACTTGCGAAGCACGCGAGAGAGATAAAAATTACGGTAGAAAATATATTTTAATACATTATAATCTCTTTATATACTCTAAGTCATAACATACATAGTAGTCTCTCTATCCGACTCTCTTACGCCGCCACTAGCATCATTCGATCAAACTACAAAGGTAATTGGCGCTTATCGCCGGAACCGCCATAAGATAAGGACATATATATGCTTTTGAGTGAGACAGAACAGAATATAATATAATGTAATGAATCAAAGATGTCACTATTATCGAATTTGGAATTTAAAAAGTCTGCACTATCGACCTCGATAATCGGTTTAGGATTCCCTTAAAAGATATATGAATCTTCAGAATGATAATAATTCACGATGGACCAAAATAGATGGACTGAGAGAAAAGTGTCGTGTGTGTGTGTGTGTGTGTGTGTGTGTGTGTGTGTGTGTTTTTAATATCTGTGATTTTATAATTACATATTACCATAATTATGATTATTATTGTTAGGCATTTTTGGAATAACTATATAAAATATGAATAGTCCAAAAAATAAACATAAGTGATTAAATTATAATAATTATAATCATTTATATAATAATAATGACAATTATTTATAGTTGTTTTCAACGCCAATTATATATATTTGTTGATAGAACTATACATATACATATAATTATAACTAACATTACGGCAATATAATAACAATCATAGTTATATTTAAATATAGTCACAAGTACTACAAATTTTTTTTCAGTGCAGCTCTTACTGTTTATTTTGATTTATTCATAGTACTTTGGCAATAATAGAACAGTATTTTGCTATCAAGAAATTTAAAAAGCAAAAAAGAACGAAAAAGAAAGAAATCTGAAAGTGTAACATTTCACGTGAGAATTTTACATAATTTAATAATAATTTCTCTCAAGGACGTAGCAAAATGCACGCGACGCAATATAACGCGATATTTGCAACATGGAAAACCGAAACTATATCACTTGTGCGAGCTTAATTAACGTCATTTACACAGATCTATGCGTAATAGGTTTATGCGTACAATAAACAAGCATTAATCAACGTCAAAGAAAAAGTCAAAGTCACACAAAAGTCAAAGATCGAAAATGAGTTCGTTACATTTTCCATCACTAAAAAGGATTATCCTGACAGGAAAGTAGAGCTCCAATTCAAATCGAATTATCATATATTTGAATTTAGATGAGAATGAAAAATCAGGTGTGTCCAAATTACATGACCCGTCGATGATTAACGTCTATAAAGCTGGACCCCCCACCATCGAAAATAAAGTTCGGAATAGGTAAAATATTTAGTGCTTTTTAGGTGCTAATTTAGTACCCTATTACGAATTTTAGTGCTCAAACCGTTTAGCAGCAAAAAAACCTGATAGATGTGGCAACCTAACCAAAAAAACAGAACTTAAATCAGCTGACTCAGAGCATCACCTGATGGTAATTCCGAGAGCTTTTTGATCAAAGTCGCGTTTGAAAGTTGTATCTTTTGTACGAAAATAATTTATACCGTTAAATTTCAATTTTCAAACTTGGAGAAAACAGGAAAGTAATTTTACTTTTGTAAACATTAATATTATTATGTTTTTGAAATTTATAATATACATGTAATATAAATGGATTATCCAACTACAGTGTTATTATCTGTTTATTGAAAAAACCTGGAATTCTTGGGAAACGTCTTCTTTAATTATTATTAAATATAATAATATATAATATACAAAGCTCAGCTTTGTTCAATATTAGATATCGATTAGCACAGAGAAAGAGAGAGAGAAAGAGAAAGAAAGAACGAGAAAATTGACAGAAATATATACTCATGTGGCTTACTATAATATATAACAATAAAAGAAAAATCAATTAAATCCACTTTTGCTGAAAAAAAGTGACAGCTCGGAAAATCTATTAATCATCAACTATCTAGTATCTAACAAAAGAAATCCTCCAAGTCTATAATGTACATACAAATGTCTTCCTTTTTGGTGTTAAAATGTTATTTTTTTCACTTAATGTTACAATTTTTTTTTCACTTATTAAATTATTTTAATATATGACTTTTAATTATTTAAATATAATGTACATAATTATTTTTATTAATTATGATAATTTTATTTAGAATTATTTATGATAATACTGAAATGGCAAATTATTAGATTGCAATGTAATGTTACCGTGTCGCAACTTGGTTGACGACATGACATCTCCGTAGCAGCAGCGAATACTTTGGTGGGCGTGCTTTCTTGAGCGCCGATATCTCTTCTGGCACCTCGGGATTCCCCCAATTATTTATAGCAACTGTCGCAGACGTAGACCGACAACGACAACAACGACGAAGACGACGATGACG